TCGTCCAACATAGTCATCACGACATCCAACAAAATCTAGAGAAAGAGCTATGGCTTGGTCACACTAGGTGCCACATAACCTTGGGTCTAGCGTCCTCAAGTCAAAGAGCCCTTATGGCATCCATTCCTCACGCCATTCAACCCATGCCTGGTGAGGTCCCAACCTGAGACGATACTACAAGAAAAATCAGGACTATCTACGGAAATGAAAATTCGTAGATAAGTCTTAATTATCTATGAATTATGTACAGCCAAAAATTCGTAGGTAATAAGGTTGTAGATAACGTTATCTACGGAAATTTTATCGGTAGATAACCTTAAATACGGACATATCTACGGATTACCCACAAAAGTTGTTATCTACGGATTATATCTACGGATAAGATTTAAAAGACTTACCTACAAAATTATCTATGGATTATTTTTGTAGATAACATATCCACAGATATTTCCGTAGGAAAATTTTTGCTTAATTTTAATAAATTTATTAATGTAACAACCCTCATATATGACATCTCAAGGATTCTATTTCACGACACTTTACTTTTCAACGTGTTTTGTCCTTACTGCACAATTTCTGAGAAACTTCCCAAGAGATCACCCATCCCTATATTACTCCAAGTCAAGCACGCTTAACTGTGGAATTTTTATGAGAGAAGCTATCGAAAAGCAGATGCATGTTGTCAATATAAGTAGTACAAATTAATTCATTTAAGTCATCTTCAACTATACAATCTCATACTTATACTATCTTTGGATCCCTCTCATTTCGGTGTATCCGGACCGCTATAAAAATATAAAAATATATATAATAATTATATTACCAATAATAATAATTATATTATATTTAATTAATCTTTATTTATATATACACTTACTTTTATAATTAACAATCTACTTATTTCTATTTAAAATTAATATTATGATACAATTTAAATTATTTATTATAAATTTAAAAATTTAACATTATATTAAAAGTGAATTTTGTAAATCCAACATAATATTGAAAGTTTAAATCACTTTATATTTTTATATAAAATTTTATTAAAATTGAACAAAAACTTGAAGGTAATCAAAGTGTTCATATTTTAGTATATTTTGAAATGTATATATTACGTCAATTTTGTTTTACAAGAATGAAGTATTAAATCATCTTGAATTAATATAAAATTTTGTATATATGAACTAAAAGTAAGAAACTTTCAATCTAATGGTTGAATTTATAAAATTCACATTTAATATAAAGTTATTGAGCGGTGTAATATTTAGTAAAAGTTACGCCGGTGCTATTATAACATTTCTCTTTTAAAATATTTTTATAAATTAAATTTATAACATTTTAAATAAATTATTAATTAACTTAATATATTTATTCATCTTAAATCTAAGATATAAAATTTAAAAAATGTATTTAATCTTATTTTATTTTCTAATTATCAACCATTAATAAAATACTAATTTAAAATATTATCTATCTATATCATAATATTTTCATATCAAATTTAAAACCAGATATTAGTTATACAAAAATATCAAGATCATATAGTAAATTGTCAATAATATTCTAGTTAAATAATTGAAAATAATTAATGTTTCAATTATATTATTTGCAAATAATTTATTCCAAAGCTAATCAATTTTTTCTATATTAATTATTAGTAAGATTTAATAACTTTTAATTTAATAATTGGATCGATGAAATTCAACATACACCATGAGTTATTGAGTGAAGTAACTTTAGTAAGAGTTACTTTATGAGTCATTTGATCCCTCCTCCTCCTCCTCCTCCTCCTCCTCCTCTCTCCCTCTCTCTCAATTTTATTGATGATCTTTTTTAATATATGATTGTCAATTTTCGTAAAAAGTTCTTACATTTTCAATAAATATAAATTTGTCAAAAATATTCCATCAATAATATAAATTTTCTTTACATCACTTAGAGTATAAAAACTTTTGCCGTGCATCCCGCCAAGGTTATTTACGAAAAATCCGTAGGTAATCTGAATTTTTTCATTACCCACCCACTATATGTTATTTACTGAAAATTTTTGCAGATAACTAAAAATTATCTATAGAAAAAATTTTGTAGGTTAGATAATTAAACATTGTCTACAGAAAAAATTTCATAGATAATATTCCGTAGATAACTAAACATTATCTACAAAAAAAATTCCATAGGTAATATTCTGTAAATAACTAAAAAAATTATCTACAGAAAAAATTTCATAGGTAATATATCATAGATAATAACAGTTTTTATTGTAGTGCGAGTCTCTCTTCTCATGCCCGGTGCCACCAATCCTGCGCTCAACATGAGTGCCATAGAGACCTCTCATGTAGAACCACGCCCGACGCCTTGAAGGCGCCCTCGATGCAATATCAAATTCTACCCTCATGTAGAACCCAATATCGCACAATACCTGAAAATTAGAAAATTTTCACAATATGCAACACCTCAAATAGCATCTATACAACACGTACAACATAAATTCATCATCAAAAACAACATGCATCTAGAAATGATCACCAATCAATCATGAATCTCCATGAACATCTTGAACTCTCAAAACCCTTGAAAACCCCTTTCAACTTCATCATTTCTCAATCAGCAGAAATAAACAACTCATTCCAATCATCACAGCCTTGTAATACACCTTAAATTTGAATCATTGCTTCCCTTGCCTCCTCGAGACTCAAATCTCTAAGACAGAAGAAAAAAAAGTGATTTTGTACACCACATGCTTGAAGTTTCGACCCAAAAGCTCAAACTTATTCACCACCTCTTTGATTACCTAAGAAATGGTAGGGAAAGAAGCATTTAAGTGAAAATGAAGAAAAGAAGAAGAAAGAAAGACAAAAGTAATCCCTTCTAGCTGTCTTTAAAGTTTTGAGTCTTTCCTTTTGGAAAAGAAAGTCTTCCTTCTATACCTTTCCTAAATTGACTCTACTTACCTCTAGTACAACCCTCTAGAGATCAATGTGCTCTAAGGGTCTGTCTACCCCAGAGCTTTCAATATCAATTATCAAATTGAAAAAGAGTTATGAGATGATAGTGTCACTATTTAAACCTTTTATTAGAAGTATATGGATAAAAAGTATCAAAATACCACATAGGGTTGGTTTGGTTAGTAGTTGTAGCAACTTTGAAGACACTTTGACAATGAAGATATTGTCTTTTGCTTTGGGTTAAATTAATGTTTAAGGATTTCAAACGTGAAAACAAACACACCATTAATCATGAGGATTTGATACCATGTCATGAACCAACAACATCAAAAGCCAAAGTTGTTAGCACATGAAAGGTTTTATATTATATTTCTAACAAAACTATTATGGGAAACTCTTAGTAACTCTAATTCAACCTCTTTATACTAGTTCAATGACTAGTTTGGGTTTCAGTTTGGTAAACCATCTAACCAAAATAAGCAATATCAGGTCTAAACTTCTAATTCTATTACATATAGATTTCCCTATGCAATTATGTCATGTGCATATTAGTGATCATATTTTTTCTTATTTCTAAGTTGGCATTGAAATGAACAAGTCACTTGACTCCAAGGAGTGATGTATACAACTTTGGTGTAGTCTTATTAGAGTTACTGACAAGAAGGCGCACCGTGAAAGACGATAGACGTAGATTTTTAGATGATAGTAGAAGAGTTTTGAGAATAATGGACACAAGGTTGGGGGTCAATACTCCAAGAAAGGAGCACAAGTTGTAGCTGCACTTACATTGCAATGCCTCAACATTGACCCAAAATTTAGACCACCTATGGTGGAAGTTCTAGCAGCATTGGAATGACTTGATTCCCCAAATTCATTCCAAAGGACACCAAAATCTGATAACCATGCAACCAGTCATTCACAGAAGTTAATTGGAAATGCAAAATATATGCTTCTTGGCTTGTTTCTTTTTTCACTTTGCATCAAAAGAATACTAAGTAATACCAACAAATGCTTTGCTCTTTCATTTCTTTGCCTATGTGAAGAATTTCCATCTTTGCGGGTTGTTGAGCATAGAGTATTACATTGTGGTACAAGGTATATATATTGCTTTGTATGAATTTTTTTGTTGACATAGTAAAAGAAAAAGTGTAACACGCATTGTTTTGTATTCGAATAAATGGATATCATATTCAAATACTCTAAATTTTGTATTCGAATAAAATACCTCATGCATTCAAGTACTACTAAACAATGAAGTAATATATTCAAATAAAATGAATTATATTTGAATAAAAAAATTAAAAAGTTAACCTCCCTTTCAAATTTTCACTTGATTTTGCAAAGAAATTTATAGATGTGGATTCACCTCAGTAAATTTTTTATTTAATGAATTGTGTATTAAACAAATGAATAGAAATATTTCAACTGAATTATTTCGTTTCTCTCCGCACTATTTTGCAGTTATTTCTATGAAAACAAACACAATATTGAAGAATAGTCTAAAATCGACCCTAATCAGCGAAATCTAAGCGTTAAATACAATAAAAAAAAACTTGTTTACTTAAATAATTCGGGACAATTTTTTTTAGTTGAGTCAAGGGTATAACTCATTTCATCATATCAGTCCCTAGCTATAAGATAAAATGATGCCAACAATATAGATTGTATGTATAAAGTGAAAATTGAACTCTAAAATTATCCATAAGATGCGAATTAAGCTACTTAACAACCAATTTTCAAATAATCTTATACACAGCCTAAGCAAGATTGACTCGTGTTAAAAATGACTATTGTTTCTTAAAAAAAATAGTAAAATAAGATCGACAAATAATTATGAAAGCCAATAATCTGATTTGACTTTTCTGTGGCAGTAAAAAATAAAAAATAAAATTATAGAAAGATTCTTTGCGAGTCTACACTTCAAGTCAAAAAGTCTGGAGACATGAGACGCGTTGCTCATATACTAAAGTCAAGGATGTGGGGCTCCTACAAAACACCGCCAAACTCTATTCATGTTTTAGCTAAAAAATTATGGACTTTAAAACAAGAGGGGTTCGGTGATTCACTAGGATGCAAAAATAACTTCATTTTAGTTTTCTTTTATAGAATTTATTTGGTGAGACACCGTGAATTTTTCATTGAAGTGCTTATAGACATTCATTTATATTTTTTGTACTAATGTCAAACATGCTTTTGTTATCAGCTTCTAATATATAATTTCTCTTTTAATCCAAGGTAGGCCTACTTTCAGAGTTTGAGTTATTAGATTTGTCAGTTTTAACTGGTATATTGGTTTAATATCTGATTGTTGAAATCTAATGGGATTGTGGGATGTGCTTTGCAAACGTAGGAGACTGGGTTAATAACTTTTTTTTTATTTCTCTATTTTATGTCGATGCTTTTCTCAAGGCCTTGGTTTGTTTAAGGCTAAGTTAGTAGTACCTACTATTCTAAGTGCTTCTACCTTTTTTAGCAGTCTTTGTTTTCTGGTATATGGATGAAAATTAAGCATCAAATGATCTATAAAAGCTTTAACATCAAATATTCAACTTGCAATATCATATTAATTAAACTCTTTCAATCAATACCAGTTTGTCTTTAAAGCTGAGATATTTTCTAAACAATCTATCCAATGAACAACTGCAGTGCCTTGAACGAACTGCATAATTTTCAATCAATGTTGGATATAAGATTGTCATCTGTTTGATAACATGTCGAGGAAATATAGATATGATATTTATGTTTAGGACTTAAGTTTCGATCTGCGCTGCTTTAAGGTAATCTGAAGTTTTGATTCATTATTCATGTTACTAGGCTTTTTTATATATAATTGTTTACTTATCTTTTGGTCTGTTCAAATGGAATATCAGCATTTCAAAGTCAAAAGCAAGTCGGTGATCAAGGTTTAAGAAATCTCCAAGGATCACAAAACCTCAAAGTCACACTAGCAATTTGGCAAACATTTGTCTAATTGTTCTTTTGTAAGTGAGCAAGATTATGATCTTTGAAGTTTGAAGTGCTTGATCTCATATTAGACAGATTTATAAATTCCAACAAAAAAAATATTAAGTAGAAGTGTCAAGAAGATACTGAAACATAAAATCCTTTTATTATATTTCTTTAAGTGTAGTGTTAAATAAATTACAGGCGCAGATCATAATGGTTGAGCTGCAAATCATCAGTGATGTTGCTTCTTCCTCTAGCCCTTCTTCAATGGTGTCTTCAAAAAAATATAAAGTTTTTCTAAGCTTTCGTGGTGAGGACACCCGCATGAACTTTACAAGCCATCTTTATGAAGCTTTGAAGAAAAAGGAAGTTGAAACCTTTATAGACTATGAGCTTAGAAAGGGAGATGAAATCTCACCGGCACTCATCCAAGCCATAGAAAATTCTCTTGTATCTATTGTCATCCTCTCACCAAACTATGCTTCCTCAAAATGGTGCTTGGAAGAACTCAGCAAGACTTTAGAATGTTAGAAAAAGCAAGGACAAATGGTGATACCTGTATTTTACAATATAGATCCATCCCATGTGAGGAAGCAAACTGGAAGCTATGAGCAAGCCTTTGCAAAACATAAGGGAGAATCCAATTACAACAAATGGAAAGCTGCTCTCAATGAAATAGCCAATTTAGCTGGGTGGGACTCTCGAAATAGGTAAATAAAATGATTCAATTTTTTGAAATAAAAAAAAAATAACAAAGACAATGTGTTGATTTAATTTGAGTTAACCAAATTTGGTTGTAAATACAAAAAGTTTAACGATGCTAATTAAAATTATGACTCAAATTTTATGATATCAAAATAAAAATTGAAGCGAACAGTGAAAGATATAATGCTTATTTAGATATAATCTAGAAAGATTTCTAAGAATTTCTCTACTAAAAATAAAGAATATTTTTCAATAAATAAGTTCTTAAAACATTAGAACCGATTTTAAAAGTTGTGTCAGACATACCTTTTAAGATCGGTCATAGAAGAACCGATCTTAAAAGTGTTCACATTATTTACAAAATTGTCACCGCGTCACTTTTAAGATCGGTCACATTTTAACCGATCTTAAAACTCTGATTTTAAAACTAATTTTTGCACTAGTGAATACTTAAATAATAGTACCAAACTTTCAATAATAAAAATATCAAAATGTCATAAAAATAATTCAAATGACAAATACATACAACTAAACATAATTTTAATTAATGTCATAATAATTTAAAAAATTCAATACACAACTTAATATTAAAATCATAATATTTAAAAATATTAATTAGTAAAGTCCGCGGACTAGCCCGCGAGCCCATGGATTAAATCCGCCAAGTCCGCGGACTTCACGGGCCAGGCTCAAAAATTAAACATAGTCATATGGATTTGAAAAAAACAGGTCCGTTATCTGCAAAATTCGCGGGCTTACGGACCGGTCCGCGGTCTCGGGTCCATCTACCCACCCCTATCAACAATATTTCAAAAAATAGAGAAACAGCTCACCTGCTCATTCTGGGAACCAGCATATGCAATTCCCAAACCCATAATTGCACCAATCCTGATTGAAGTGTCTTTTCTATGTGTACAGTCACCTAGAAGTGCCAATGCCTGAAAAGTGGACAAATAACATCTAATATAGAAACAAAAGCTACACCATACTCTCATATCAAGCATAGGGGAAGGCAACAGAAACTCACAGGACCACAGTCATTCTTGATACCACAATTGACAATTCTAACTCCCAATAATGCACCAGCATTGACATGATTATCATTACTATGAAAGTATTTGTTAATTTGAGCAAGTCCCGAGTCAACATCCCAGAGTAAAATCATACCCTGTTATGATACATAACTATTGCAAATGAAATTATATAGTCCGCACCACAGATAAGAAAAACTCGTTCAACAGTCTTCCCATCTTCCTTATTTTTGAAAAAGCCAATTTCCAGAAGAACCACTGCATGAAGAATTTGATGAAACGGTCATTAATTTATCCTGCAAAACAATAATGGGAAGCGAGGGAAGTAAAAGATTGAAAAGAACAAAAGAGATCATTAACCTAAAATCACTACAATTACAACATACAAAATCGTGACATATGAAATACATTGTACCCATGGTTTTAATTAATTGCGGTTGCGGTCGCGGTTGCAGTTACTGCAGTTGCGAGTATTGCAGGTATTGCGATGCGGATTGCGGCTGTTGCGGTGTGAAATTAATAATTATTTTCACTAAATATAAAAAATTTATAATTATCAATATATATTTTATTTTTAAGGATTTATACATTTTAATTCCTTTTTTTTTAATATTCTATTATTTTAATGAATAATTGAATTTATTTTAAAATTATAGTATCAATTTATCGTATTGTGAATGTATTGCGGTGCATTGCAGATGTGTTGCGGACGCAACACCGTTACGTTGCAAAAAAATGTGTGATTTTCAGTCTCACCGCAATTGCGGTCCGATGCCGTTGCGAACAAGGCCGCAACAGCAATATTGCGGCCGCAATACGTGTTGACTTGTATAATTAACAATCTACTTATTTCTACTTAAAATTAATATTATGATACAATTTAAATTATTTATTATAAACTTAAAAGTTTAAATAATAATTTATATATTTTAAAATGATAAGGGTTATAATAACACCAGTGTAACTTTTACTAAGTATTACATTGCTCAATAACTTTATATTAAATGTGAATCTTGTAAATCCAACCAGTAGATTGAAAGTTCATATCACTTTATATGTTTATATCAAATTTTGTTAATATTGAACAACAACTTGAAAGTAATCAAAGTGTTCATATTTTGGTATATTTTAAAATGTAATATCAAATTATATTGAATTAATATAAAATTTTGTATAATAATTCTGTCGGAAATTTTTGACGGAATATTCTGTCAGAAATTTTTCGGATTTATTTTTCCGTCAGAAATTTCTGACAGAATTTTCCGTCGAAAAGTTTCTGTCGGAAATTTCTGACAGATTTATATTTTTGTCAGAAATTTCCGACGGAAAATTTCTGACGGAAAATTCTGTGGAAATTTCCAATAGAAATATAAATCCGTCGAAAATTTCTGACAGATCCATATCCGTCAAAAATTTTCCGTCAAAAATTTACATTTTTCTTGTAGTGTACATCCATGATCTTTCGCATGTGATTGAGTCGGATCATATTGAGGTTAAGGAGAACCTAACTGTGGAAGCTACCCCGGTGAGAGTCGAGGATCGAATGGTGAAGCATCTTAGGGGAAAGGAAATTCCTTTGGTGAAAGTTATATGGGGAGGAGCTACACTTGAAAGTGCTACTTGGGAGCTAGAGGAGAAGATGAAAACGTCATATCCATTTTTATTTGCTTCAGGTAATTTCGAGGACGAAATTTCTAAAAGGAGGGGAGAATTGTAACACCATAGTTTTTATTTCACTTTTTATTTATTTATTTTAATTAATGGTATTTTGGTAATTTTATAAAGGTTTAGGGGTGATTTAGTAGCTTGGAACGGGCTGTTCCGGAATTGGAACGGGCCGTTCCAAACTACCAAAATGTATGTGATTTAGTAGCTTGGAACGAGCTGTTCCAGAATTGGAACGGGTCGTTCCAAATTACCAAATTATATGTGAGTTAATAGCCCAGAACGGGCCGTTCTCAATTTGGAACGGGCCGTTCCGGACTATTAAAAACTGCTTTGAACTTTAAGTGGGAACGGGCTATGGCAGTTGTGAGTAATAAATGCACACCAGAACAGGCCGTTCTGGTTTAAGAATGGGCCATTCTAGGTGTGATTTTTACCCATGTTTTTATGGTCTAGAACGGGCCGTTCCGAATTTGGAATGGGCCGTTCCGGCGAAGCCTGAAGCCTATAAATTGAGCTCTCTGCCACTTCCAAAAGGCACACCTCTCATTTTCTCATTTCTTTTCTTCTTCTCTCTCTTCTTTTCTCTCTACTTTCTGCTTTAGACCGAGGGGAACCCAGCGAGGGAGACCAACCAGATCTTGTGTAGGTTCAACTTCTACATATCCAGGTACGGGGGAAAAGGGAATTATTTATATGTAGAGTTACATAAGAGAATTGGGTAGAAGAAGAACCCTTAGGATTATGAGCAATTTTATAATTATTTCTGTTTGGAGAATTATTGGTCTTATGTGATTTTGTATGTATTTAGGACTATGATTATATGATTAATTTGTAAAAATGATGCTCTGGGAGAGAGAAGGAAATTATACAAAAGTGCCTGTTAGTTAGGTTGCGAAAAATTGGATGATTTCTGTTTGAGGAATTGATGATCCCATTAGATTCCGTATGTGTTGAGGATTATAAATATGCTAATAATTTGTAAGAATGATGATTTGCGAGAGAGAACGAAATTGTAGAAAAGTGCCTGTGAGCATTGTGCTATGCAATTGTTGCTCTTCAAAGAATTTCTTTGTCCACTATTGTGTTTAATTGTGTAGAGTTAAAAAATAATTTTTTTTTGTTTTTAGTTGAATAAATTATAGAAATGAGATAATACATTAACAAGAATTTCCTTTACATGGTTTGAAAAGATTCTCCTCAATTGGTCTCACCAGGTTTTCACTGTGAACAATAATATTTCCATATTAGATTTTTGTACATAGTGAACATGTAAGCAATGATAATTTATTGTAATTTATTCATCTACTATGAAGTTCACTATTGAAAAATATTTCAAATATTTTCTCTTCAATAACCTAAAAATAAATTTAAATATCGATATCTTCATTAACCCGAGTCTTTTATAACTTTTTTTTATTCTATCCATATATTGTTTGTGTATTTGGAAACTTTTAATTTCGTTACATGCATGAGAGCATGCCTACGTAGAATAATAACTTCCATGGTAGTTTAAATAAGTTCATTGTGTAGAAAAAACATAGATATTGTTTATCTTCTCTAAGTCATTGAATTTTTATTCCTCAATTATATCATTTTCTCTATTATTCTAACATTGATCTATGATTATGTATAATTATTATTTTTTCTATTGTATTTGTTATGCTTATAACAAAACATTTATTTCATTGTGTTTCTTCTTTCTTATGCTAGGACTGAATCAGAACTCCTTAAGGAAATTGTTGGAGATGTTTTGCAAAAATTGACTCCTACTTACCAAAACCAACTTAAAGGTCTGGTAGGAATTGAGGACAATTATGAAAAAATTGAATCATTACTGAAAATTGGGTCAACTGAAGTGATAACCATTGGAATATGGGGTATGGGTGGCAAAGGAAAGACCACCCTAGCCACTACTTTGTATGCAAGATTGTCTCCTTGGTTTGAAGGTTGTTGTTTCCTGAAAAATGTAAGGGAAAATTCAAGCAGTCATGGATATGAAGATCTTTCAAGAAGTGTAGTTTCCTATTACAAAGGCGTTCCTTTGGCTTTAAAAGTTCTGGGTGCAAGTCTTCGTCGAAGAAGTAAAGAGGTATGGGAAAGTGAATTGAGAAAGCTACAAAAAATCCCAAATATGCAAATTCATGACATTTTAAAATTGAGTTATGATGGCTTAGATCGTTCTCAAAAGAACATCTTTTTAGATGCTTACTGAAAGGAGAAAACATGAATTCTGTAACATGTCTACTAGAAGCTTGTGGTTTCTTTGCAGTATCTGGTATCGAAGTCCTTTTGGACAAAGCTCTTATAACAATTTCAAATTATAATAATTCAATAGAAATGCATGACTTGATACAACAAATGGGTCAAGAAATTGTTCATCAAGAATCCATCAAAGATCCTGGAAGACGAAGTCTATTATGGAAACATGATGAAGTGTATGAAGTATTGAAATATAACAAGGTAAGTGGAAAATTTAATGATTTATTTATGTACTATAACTAGTATGATAGTCCAACCAATTATTATTTTTAATTTTGTTTAACAGGGAACTGATGATGTTGAAGGGATAATTTTAAATTTGGATACATTAACTGAGGATCTGTGTTTGAGCTCTGATTTCCTTGCAAAGATGCCTAATGTGAGATTTCTTAAAATCTATACAAAGCACTGGAGTCGGAACAAATTTAATGTGTCCCTTCCTCATGGTCTCAAGTCATTCTCTTATAAATTGAGGTACCTTCGATGGGATGGATTTTGTCTCGAGTCTTTGTCGTGTAACTTTTGTGCTGAACAACTTGTAGAGCTTCACTTGTCTTTGAGCAAGGTTAAAAGGCTTTGGGATGGGGTTCAGGTAGGAATGTGGCTATACTTGCTACATTTTTTTTCTCTAAGTTTTTAAAGGTACAAGTGAGCCTTGAATGGTAACTAGTTAGGTTTCTCTTTTAGTTAAGGCTAATGATTATCAATTTAAATTTTTTCTTAACATTGTGATGCATCTTTCTTGTTACAGGATCTTTCGAATTTAAAGAAAATTCTCTTAGATGACTTGCCAGAGCTGGTTGAGATTCCGAACTTATCTATGGAAAGAAAACTTGAACTTATTTGTCTTATTGATTGTATAAGTTTGCGTGAGCTCCATCCGTCCATCACTTCTCTCCCTAAGCTAACACAGTTGGAGTTATTTCGATGTTCAAAGATTGAAATCCTTAAAGTTCATTCAAAATCTCTTCGTATACTTGACGCCTATGATTGTTCATCCCTCAAGGAATTCTCAATTACATCAAAGGAAATGACTACTTTGACCTTATGGAAAATAAGTGCATTGCCGTCATCAATTAGGGATAATATCAAACTTAGTGAACTTATTCTAACAGTCTCAAACAATTTTGAAAAATTATATAAAGCAGGAATGGGATCGATTACAACACTGAACCATTCTGAGTGTGTGAAGCACAACGCATGCCATACCCACCACAACTTTGGCAACTTATCATCTTTAGAAGAGTTATGGTTAAATGGAATTGTTGGGATTCATCCCAAGTCCCACATCGGTAAAATGAAGGAACATTGGCTAGTTTATAAGTGTCCACCATTCCACATAGTATGAGGCCTTTTGGGAAGGAGCCCAAAAACAAAACTGTGCGGGCCTAGCCCAAAGCGGACAATATCATACTATGGTGGAGGAACAGGTGGACTATCGGGTCCTACAAGTGGTATCAGAGCCAACGGTTCGGCTGGGTTTGATGCGGGAAGACCCTCAATGTTGTGCCTCGCGATGGAGAAGAGATCCGAACTTGGTGCCTTGTTTCGAAAGTCTTCTTGATATTGTGGTGTTCAGGCGGCGTGTCCCGTAGAGTTAACGGCGGTACAAGATGGTGACGGATTATCGCTTGAGGGGAGGAGATCACGAGACATGTGGTCCTTGGTTTGAGGGGAGGTTTGTTGGGATTCATCCCAAGTCCCACATCGGTAAAATGAAGGAACATTGGCTAGTTTATAAGTGTCCACCATTCCACATAGTATGAGGCCTTTTGGGAAGGAGCCCAAAAACAAAACCGTGCGGGCCTAGCCCAAAGCGGACAATATCATACTATGGTGGAGGAACAGGTGGACTATCGGGTCCTACAGGAATTAATGATGTGAGCTTGTGTGCAAGCATCCAAAACCTTTCATTACTGAAAGTAATTCGCCTGAAAAATTGTCAAAACCTTATGTCTCTGCCACAGCTTCCACCATCACTGAAAGTGCTTGAGTTAACTGACTGTAGGAAACTCGTGTCTCTACCACAGCTTCCACCATCCCTTAAAATTCTTGAGTTAAATGACTGTAGGAAACTCGTGTCTCTACCACAGCTTCCACCATCCCTTGACAATCTTGAGTTAACTGGTTGTAGGAAACTCGTGTCTCTGCCACAGCTTCCACCATCCGTGACATAAGTGAAAGCCATTAACAACACTCTTCTAGGGACAGATTTCACTCAACGGATAGTATTACAACACATGTTGAGTCACTCACTGAGTTTTGACTACGAATCATTTAACAGTTTCATATTGCCAGGAGACCATGTGACTGACAAGTGTGAGTTTCAAAACGCAGGGAATTCAATAACTATTCCTTACCTCTCACCGTCGAACTTGTGGGGTTTCATTTGTTCCCTCGTTCTTTACAGGGGATCATACGGTGGTCTTGTTACGTCTTCTATCTATCAAGATGACGAAGAGGTCTTCTACAAATCTTACTCAGTCCCCAAAAATCTAACTTCAGATCACATTTTATTTCGGTATTCTAAACCAGAAGATCTTTCCAACGACGTACCATTGAAATTTGAATTTCATTTCTATGGACGGGGTAGTCGTAAAGATTACAGTCAAGAGAGAATCAAAGAGTGTGGAGTCTTCCCAGTGTATGCCTCAAGCATGGAAATTGGAGTTGGAGCATCTAATGCTGAAAATGAATTGGAATCCATTTCTCAAATCAATAATAATGAGTCACAGCCTAGTGAAAATGGAGATGTAGTTGGAGTTGGGGTTGGAGGCTCTAATAATGAAAATGGATTGGAATCCATCACTCAAATCTGTGAGAATGAGTCACAACATGAATTGATTAGAGTTAAAGGCTCTAATAATGATAATGAATGGGAGTGAGGATTTTATGCTTATTAGACTACTGCATCGGTATGAAACTTCACCTAATTCACTTCTTTATTGTAGGCTCCTTATTTTTAACTCTTTTCTTAAATTAAATTATAACTTCAAATATAGTAGTTATATGTTGGAAATACTCTTGATTCTAAAAAATTATAACTTGTATATTACAATATCATTGTGTCTACTCAAATGTTGAACAGGTTTTCTTTTGAAACACTTATGGAGAATATTGGTGGGAAACGAGCTCTAGCATGGTGGAATAGTCAAAACAATATTCAGAACTCTTTGATGGTCTATTCACTAGTACAAAAGAGGTGTACTACGTCGGATATTTTAGGCCTTTTACGTCAGAAAACGTACCGACGTAGAAGCGGGAGACGTAAATTTTACGTCGGAGCTTCAAATCCGACGTAAATTTACGTCAGAAATTACGAAACCCGACGTAAAACAGTTGTAAAAAAACAAAAAAAAAAAACTTAAGAACGCAGGCAGAACGGCCCGTTCTGCTTGCAGAACGACCCATTCTCCAAGCAGAACAGCCGTTCTGCTTGTAGAACAGGCTGTTCTGCTTCGTAGAATAACAAAAAAAAAAGGTCCAATACCTACACAAATAAAACAACCAAAAAATTGAATAAAATAGATAACCAGAGTAGCAATGCTAAGTAGAAAAGTGCTAACGAAACCTTGTTTCATACCTGAGGAGCAGCAACAATGTGCAAATGAGTAACAAAGAGTTCATCCCTCTGCAAAAAACAAGAAAACGATTCAGTAACAAAGAAGAGGGAGAGGGTTTACAGAGAAAAAAATGAAAAGTGATGAAAAGTGAATGCGCGCGGTGTGCCTCGCGCTCTCTTATTCAAATTTGCGTCTTTTTTACGTCGGACCTGGTAGGGTGCGACGTAAATTGGACTTTTTACGTCAGACCTTCCCAGGTGCGACGTAGATTGGACTTTTTACGTCGGACCTTACCAGGTGCGACGTAAAAAAGTTCGCAAAAATTACAAAAATGCCACCGCATTTTTTTTACGTCGGATTTTCGTATTTCCGACGTAAAAGGGGTGACGTAATATACTTATTTTCTACTAGTGCTATTAGTGATTTCACGTCATTTACAAATAAAAAGAGATTATTTATTCTACAGTAGATGAGTGATATATAAAATTATGATGGTAATGAGTTTATGATTCAAAATAAGAAAACCTTTCTTTGTCTCTTGTCAATAAAATGAGTAAAATAAATGATTTGAATAGAATTATTTAAATTTGTTTAGTTTTTTTCTTGATCGGATCAAATAAGATCCAAATCAATTAAATTTAACTTTTATTTGTTTTGGATTACGAGTTTATATTTTATACATTTGATGATTCAAAAACAAAAATAAAATAAAATTATTATTATTATTATTATTATTTTATTTCATTATTTTAATTATCATAATATTATTTTATAATATGATTTTACTAGTAACACATAAGTGCAATATTATTTTGCTGTACTAATAAAACTCTAGCAATATAATATTACATTTATGGTAGTTTTTTGATGATATTATTTAATAGTAATATTAATATATTTGTAATATTATTATTTTATTAGTTATCATTCACTCTCTTATATTATCATACAATTCATATTTGGACACACATAGCACACACTCTACTCTACCATTCAAGTTTGTCACCTTTTTGCTAGTTCAGGAGTCGTTGGTCAATTCATTTTAATCTAGTCATTAGACTTAGTACCAAAAAAATTCTAGCATTTATTTTCACTCAATATATTATTTGCATATTGACGTTTAATTTGAGAAAAAAATGGATGAGGAGTACTTTAATAATAATTGTAACAGAAAATTATTTTATATTTAAGAGACTCTTCATTTAAATATTTGAATACATTAACTTTAAATGTTAAAGTATGTTTAAATACTTTAATTTCATATTTTTTATATTATTTTTATTTATTCTTAGATTTTATTTATACTCTTTTAATAATAGGTTTTTATTTAAATTTTAGGATAAAATAATATATTCTTTGTTTTAAAAAATAAATATTTATTATTCTTTATAAAAATAATTAAACAAAACCAAACCATTGTTTACTGGTTTGGATCACAAACTTCTTTGATAAATCCAATCCAAACAAAATCAATCAAAATTGATTGAATTGTGCTATGTTTACAAAAATATGATAATTGCACTTGAAAATAAGGATCAAAACTTAGATATAGCACCTCTACAAAACATACCAAACATCTACGCCACGAGTTTTGTCTCATACATTTGGCAAACTTAATATATATACATATTTGTATTTTTTTCATACAAAAATAAAGGTAATTTGTGATAATATGTGATTTGGACTCACATATATGCAATTATTTAACATCTTATATTATATGTTATTATACATTTGATTATATATTTATATATTAATATATGTGGTTCAACAATTCATAATTTGCTTTATTTATCAATATTAAATTCATTATAATTTTTTTTTTGAAAATTTCTATAAAACATGATATA